TTCAATGCTACCAAGAAATAAGCTCGATGTGCAAGTCCCACTCAAAACCAACCCCCGGAGGGAATGTTTTGATCTTTTAAAAGTAATGCTTCTAAAATGTTGTTTCTGACACCTCTGCAAAAACAGTGATTTTTGGGGATGAGGTGAAAGTGTTTAAAGATGAAAGTATTTTCGGGGTTTTCTTTTTTTTAGGTCACCCTGCCTCGGGGGGAGACGGCAGACTTGTTGAAAAAAAAAAAATTGGGAGTGACTTGTCCAGAGAGTCTATAAAGACAAGAGAAATATGAGATGAGGGGGAAAAAAAGCAAGTGGGGCACTGAGGACCTGTGAACAGATCGTTATCCTGAAACAAAAGGGTAGAGTCGGCCTAGGAAAGGTTGGGGGGATGGGGGAAAGGTTTTTTGGGGCGAGGGGTTTTGGGCCCAGAAAGGAGCATGTTAGACGGGGTGAGTGGAGACAAATAGTTTTTATGGTTGACATGCGTTAGAGAGAGCAAATTAAAAATTTATGAAGGGGTTCAGGAAACCAGTTAGCCCCAAACTGAGTCCTGGAGGCGAGAAGTACATGCCTGCCCTCTACAGAAGGGTTTGATATGTTGCAGTTTTTTTAAAATGTGTGTATGTGCCCCTGGCAAACAGTGAGGATGAAGATGGAAAGTGTTTCTTCTTTTTCAGGTACCCCCGCTTTTTGGGGGGAAATAGCAATATGATAATAAAACAAAAAATACTTTTGAAATTATGTTTTTTTTTTTTCCATCTACAATCATTTTTATTGTAAATAAACCCAAGGTGTAATCTATTTAGTTGGGGTTTTGGTGGAAAACAGAACCCCCAGGGAGGTACTACCGTCCGTGGAGTAGGTTGGGAGACAGCAACCACCCGGAGGTACTACCGTCCCGCCCAAATGAGTGTAAAACGAAAGCCGTAATTGTTTTTTCAAAGGTAGGGTTGCGATGTCTTTGTCTGTTATAAATATGCAAGATTTCAGGGTTGTCTTTCTACTTCTACTTACACTTAGGTCACACTAACAACATGTCACATTTTTTTATACACACTCATTGAAATTTACTTTGATTTTTTTTAAAATTCTTGTTTACTACTTTTCCTTTATATCCATGGGGAAGTGGAATAAGAATCTTTTCCTCCGAAAACCCGCTGTTTTAAAAGTCAAATAAAATGCCGGGAACAAGGGTGTAACCCTTTTTCCTGTAAAAATTATAAAAAGAATAAGAAGAAGAAAATTTTTAAAGTGGGGAAATCGAATGTGTGTGGATGTTTTGCAGATGATAAAAAGAGATGATTTTTGGGTGTTATGAATGAGAAGAAAACGGATGCCCCGGCTTAAGTAAACAAAGCTGAAGGGGGTGGGGAGTTTCAGTGGGGAAGGGTTAAAAGGGATTAGGGCAGGGGTTCAAAAAGGTTTTGAGCTAAAAAGGAGTACAATAATGTTGAAGGATAAGCTATGGCAGGAAAAAAGGGACAAAAAGTATTAATTCAAGATTAGTGGAGTAAAATAAGATTGGATGTGAAAAAGTGGGTTATAATAACAGTATGCACCTGGGGAAAAAAAGAAGTGTAGAGGAGGAAAAGAGATTTTTTGGGGAAAAGTTGAGTGAAAGATGGGGTTTTGAATCAAGTGTGAGAGTAATGGTGGTTGGGGATTTTAACTAAAGTGGGAAAAATGTTATGGAGGGAGTAGAGGTAAATTGGGGGGCCAGGGGTAAATGAAATGGGGCCTTTAATTTAAAACTATTTAGAAAGAGTTTTTGGGAATAAGTAATACATATTTTATGAAAAAAGGGGTAAATAAATATACAAGGGTTGATGGCACAAGAAAGTAGTTATTTTATATGATTGGTGGTAAAAGGTTGATGGGTAGCTCCCGATGTACATGTTTTTAGGGGGCAACTGATATATCGATCATTATTTAGTTTACTAAAATTAAGAAGGGAATGGGGAAAAAGGGAAGGGGGCAACAAAAAGAAGAAGGTGAAATGATAAATAAGGGGGGAAATTCGGGTGAGATTTTAACGACTATTTTGGGAGAAAGGTGGGGTGGCAAAGATGGTAGTGGGGGGGTTGAAGAGGGTTGGGGTAATTTAAAAAAAGCAGTATTGAATGTGGGGCAGAAGTTTGTTTTTATAGGGGGGTGGGGCAGGAGAAAGAGGATGATTGGTGGAATATGAAGTAAAGGGTGTGATAAAAGAAAAAAGGGAGCTAGAAGGTTTTTTTTTCAAAGCAAAATGTTTTTAAGAAGACGAGTATATGGAGAGAAAAGAAAGGTAAAGAAGTGGTGAAAGTGCAAAAGGAGAGCAATGATAGAGTGGGGGGAAAGGATGTCAAGAAATTTTAATGAAAAAAAGAAAAAATTTGGGTGATTTAAACAAGTTAAAAAGCCTAGGAAAGTATGAATTTGCTTAAAAACAGAGTAGGGAGTGTAATGGGGAGATGGAGGATTAGGTAATGGCGAGAAATTTGAGGAAATTTTAAAGTTTAAAGGAAAACAAGGGAGTAAATTTATGCCGGTCAGGGAGGGATACCATCTTTTTGGAGGAAGAAAGCGAATGTAAGTGTGGGGGGGGAGTGAGGCATTACTAAAATAAAAGGGGTAAAGCAGCTGGAACTGATGGGACATGACAGAAATGTTAAAAACAGGGGGGGATATAGTGTTGGGGTGGTTGGTACTTTTGTTTAAAAATGTATGAAAAAAGGGGGAAAAGGTACCTAGGGATGGCGGAGAGATGATAGTCCCTTTATATAAAGGGGAAAGGGGGCAAAAAACTGTAAAAATTATAGGAATAATTTACTGATATACCCGGAAAGTGTACGGGAAAGGTTTTAATTGAAAAAATTAGAGGGAAGACAGAAAGTAGATTGCGGTGACAAGGAGGTTTCAGAGTGGTAGGGGGTTGTAATCAAATGTTTAATGAAGCTATATTAACGATTTAATAAAGGGAGGGAATTTATATTTCATTTATGGATTTTGAAAAGGCATATGATAGAGTGGATAGAGGAGCAATGTGGCAGATGTTTCAAGTATAGGAATAGGGGGTAAGTTTTTTAAATGCGTAAAGGTTTTTATGGGATAGTGAGCTCAGGTAGGGTTGTAGAAGAGGGGAGACTACCCCGGTAAAAAATAGGTCTTAACAGGGATGTGTAATGTCACCATGGTTGTTTAATATATTTATAGATGGGGGTTTTAAAAAAAAAATCTAGGGGTTCGGGGGGAGGGGTGGGATTTAAATTTTTTGGGGGAAACAAAATTTAAAGGGATTGACACAGTTCTTTTTGCTGATGAAACTGTGCTTTGGGATTCTAAAAAAAAATTGAAAAGTTAGTGGATGATTTGAAATGTGTGTAAAGGGAAAGTTGAAGTGAACATAGAAAAGAGTAAGGTGATGAGGGGGTCAATGATTAGATAAAAAAAAATTGGATATCAAATTGGGGAGGAGGGGTATGGAAGAAATGAAGTTTTCAGATACTGGGAGTTGACGTTCGGCGATGGGTTTAGAAGGGTGAGAGAAGGTTTTTAAAGTAGAAAGACTGGAAAGCTAAAATCTATAGGGGAAGGAAGGTGGGTAGGGTCGTCCTCGAAAGGGTTGGAGAGAGGGGGTAAAGGGGGTTTTTTTGGGGAAGGGGTTGGACTTCCAGAAGTGTGCGTGAGCGTGTTAGTAGGAGTGAATGGAGAAAGGGACTTTGGGACCCACGATCTGTTGGGGGGACAGGGTAATTTTAGTGAAAGGGGTTCAGGGGAAAACCCGGGTTTTTTTATGTCGGGCTGAGTCCTGGAAATGGGGGTACAATGCCTGCACTTTAAGGAGGGGTTTTGGGTATTGGCAGTTTGGGGGGATTGTTGGTATCTTAATGGTATGCTTCTAAAAATGTTGTTTCTGAGCACCTCTGCAAAAACGGAAAGTCAGTGTGGTGAAAAGGGTTTAATATGATGAAAGTTTTTCTTTTAGGGGATTTTCTTTCTTTTTTTGGGGGCACCCCGCCTCGGGGAACGGCCGACTTTTTGGGAAAAAAAAAAAAAAAAAAAAAAAAAAAAACAACATTTTGGTCTTCCCCCCCACCAAGGTGCATACAAAAAAAAAAGAGGGGCCAACATCACAATTTAAAAGACTCTTTGAACTGAAAATATCTCACTCACCCTCTTCAAGTTTTGGCACGTACTTCCTACAAAAAGGGTTCAAGTCTAGCTAAATGGCCAAATTACACTTACCCAAAAAACATTCTGCCAGAAAAACATGGGGAAAAATTTTTTGAGGATTTCATCAGAACACGCAAATGCCTGACATAATTGCTCTTTGAAGATTTGGGATCCCGAGGAAATTTTACCATTCTTTTACCCAAACGTGTAGCAAACCTTCTCATCCACGCACGTAATTAATACGTTAGAATTACTTGCTTGTGAAAGCTCTGGTTTTTAATACTTTTTTTATTTAACCCATATATGTGTTTTTAGTTTTAAATGATACCGTATTTTTTTAAAAAATTAATATTTCAGTGTACTCAAAAATATCAATACTATTTAAAATTCTACCCACAATTGAAGAGCTAGTCAAACACAAAAAACACTCCACAAGAGATACATAAACCCCACCTGCACACAAAAAGTGCAGTTTTCTTTTGAAAACTTCTTCCTTTATTCTAAAAAATCTTAGTACCTTTTCAACATAGAATATTTAATTTGAATCCCAGGCTGAAAATAGAAGAATAAAATGGGCACTACTTTGTAAATCCAGGTGAAAGTATTAAGTGCTCTGAGGGTATAACTGCTAAGTTATATTTATCTTTTGTTTACAATAAGCTCATTTCAGCATATTATACTCATGGGAAAGCTTCATCAGCATCAAAGTAATCCTCCTGGTTAGCACTCACCATCAAAACACATTTTTCTCTATTATTTTATTATATTTAAAGAGAAGCACTAAATCCATATAGGGATCATAACAGCACTTGTGCATTTTCCTCTAGATCTAAAAAAGAAGGTTTGCATACCTGAGTGAGTGAAGAGTCTCGAGAGCCATGACCATGGCATCAGTTGGGGGAGGGTCCATAAAATCAAAGCCTAGCAAGTCGTTGATCCCCATCGCTTTCAGCTGGAGTACTGTTGCAGCAAGGTTCGTCCGTTGGATCTCTGGTACACTTGTTGGTAACATCTCATCTCTGTGTGTGGGACAAATAAATCAGCAGTGTCAAACTTGGAACTGGGAGCTTAGTGCCATCATTTCTAAACTGAGGATATCAAGATCAGGAGGAAAACTGTGACCCTAGATCAATACAGGTTAATGGAAATATGATGGTGAATGTGTTTCCTTTCTTTGAGTCATCCTTCCTTGGTGGGAGATGGCTGGTGTGCTAAAAACAAGAAATGTTACCATAATTTGGTAAAATGTAACTTATAATCTACTTAATGAGTCACTTTTCTGTAGCTCCAATGTCTTTATTGCAGTGGTAAAGTAACAAAGACTTTTTATATTATAGATATAAGACATCTATCAATATTTTTTGGACAAAGCACATAACTGCCATCCTTTGCATAACAGCTTTTAACAAGTGGTGTAATTTTCTTTGAATTATAATTCTCAACATATGAAGGCACCATAAAGATACAAAGACTCAATTAGACTTAAAAACTCTTGTTGAATTCCAAGTTTTGCTTAGATATTGTGTAAATTTACAAGTATGAATTTGTATGAATTATAATTTTTTTTTTTTTTTTTTTTTAAACAAGTCGGCCATCTCCCACTGAGACAGGCTGACCCAAGAAAGAAAGAAAATCCTCAAAAAGAAAATACTTTCATCATCATTCAACTCTTTCACCTCACTCACACATAATCACTGTTTTTGCAGAGGTGCTCAGAACACAACAGCTTAGAAGCATATACCTATAAAGATATACAACATATCCCTCCAAACTGCTAATATCCCGAACCCCTCCTTTAGAGTGCAGGCATTGTACTTCCCATTTCCAGGATTCAAGTCCGGCTATATAAAAATAACTGGTTTCCCTGAATCCCTTCACTAAATATTACCCTGCTCATACTCCAACAGATTGTCAGGTCCCAAATACCATTCGTCTCCATTCACTCCTATCTAACACGCTCACACACGCTTTCTGAAAATCCAAGCCCCTCGCCCACAAAACCTCCTTTACCCCCTCCCTCCAACCTTTTCGAGGACGACCCCTACCCCGCCTTCCTTCTCCTACAGATTTAAATGCTCTCCATGTCATTCTACTTTGATCCATTCTCTCTAAATGATCAAACCACCTCAACAACCCCACTTCAGCCCTCTGACTAATACTTTTATTAACTCCACACCTTATCCTAATTTCCACACTCCGAATTTTCTGCATAATATTTACACCACACATTGCCCTTAGACAGGACATCTACACTGCCTCCAACCGCCTCCTCGCTGCTGCATTCACAACCCAAGCTTCACACCCATACAAGTGTTGGTACTACTTCATTTTCATACATTCCCTTCTTTGCCTCCATAGATAACGTTTTTTGTCTCCACATATACCTTGTACTACTTTATTTTCATACATTCCCTTCTTTGCCTCCATAGATAAAGTTTTTTGTCTCCACATATACCTCAATGCACCACTCACCTTTTTTCCCTCGTCAATTCTATGATTGCCCTCATCCTTCATAAACTCATCCAAGTATCTGAAAACATTCACTTCTTCCATACTCCTCCTCCCCAATTTGATATCCAATTTTTCTTTATCTAAATCATTTGATACCCTCATCACCTTACTCTTTTCTATGTTCACTTTCAACTTTCTACCTTTACACACACTCCCAAACTCATCCACTAACCTTTGCAACTTTTCTTTAGAATCTCCCATGAGCACAGTATCATCAGCAAAAAGCAACTGTGTCAATTCCCATTTTGTATTTGATTCCCCATAATTTAATCCCATCCCTCTCCCGAACACCCTAGCATTTACTTCTTTTACAACCCCATCTATAAATGCTGTATATTAAACAACCATGGTGACATTACACATCCCTGTCTAAGACCTACTTTTACTGGGAAGTAGTCTCCTTCTCTTCTATACACCCTAACCTGAGCCTCACTATCCTCATAAAAGCTCTTTACAGTATTTAATAACTTACCACCTATTCCATATACTTGCAACATCTGCCACATTGCTCCCCTATCCACTCTATCATATGCCTTTTCTAAATCCATAAATGCAATAAAAACTTCCCTACCTTTATCTAAATACTGTTCACATATATGCTTCAATATAAACACTTGATCTACACATCCCCTACCCACTCTGAAACCTCCTTCCTCATCCGCAATCCTACATTCTGTCTTACCTCTAATTCTTTCAATTATAACCCTACCGTACACTTTTCCTGGTATACTCAGTAAACTTATTCCTCTATAATTTTTACAATCTCCATGGGGAAGTGGAACAGAATTCTTCCTCCATAAGCCATGCGTGTCATAAGAGGCGACTAAAATGCCGGAAGCAAGGGGCTAGTGTTCAGTCCATCAATCTTGAATAGAATACTATTCTATTCAAGATTGATGGACTGAACACATTGACTCAAGGTTGAGGGACTGATTACCTCATTCTCCTCCTGTTCTTCAAGTTTCTCCTACGTTTGGACTGATGAAGCCACTGTGTGGCGAAACGTTTCCTCAATAAAGATACCCAAGAGTTGCACATGTGTCTAATTTATCCTGTATATATTACTAAATGTAAAGGGAGAAACTTTTGTTTTTTCTTTTGGGCCACCCCGCCTCGGTGGGATACAGCTGGTGTGTTGAAAGAAAGAATTTTTACAATCTCTTTTGTCCCCCTTCCCTTTATATAAAGGGACTATACATGCTCTCTGCCAATCCCTAGGTACCTTCCCCTCTTTCATACATTTATTAAACAAAAGTACCAACCACTCCAACACTATATCCCCTCCTGCTTTTAATAAATTCACAATGTGAAAATAAATTAGAAAACCAAAAATGTATTTAACAAGAAGAAAAACTAGTAACATTATGCCATGGCATTAAGACACTGGTTTTCTGTATTGTTAGACACTAGTTTTCTATAAAAAAAAAAAGAATTACCAGTATGTATACAAGTGTACACTTGTATACATACTGCACTTGTGCTTATTACCTCAACAGATCTTATAAATGACAAGTAAAATAATTGCAACAGGGGTAGGGGATGTCACAGGAATGGTTAGAAGATGGGGGTAAAAGGTATTGTGCATGGTAAATGCTTAATCATCCAACAGGGATATGTGTGTCTGTTAGATTGAATAAATTCTTTTTTCAGGGTTTGACAAGCCTGAAAGAATTTAGGGAAACTTGATGGTGAGAAGTACAGTGCCTGCACTCTGAAGGATGGCTAAGAATGCTGCAGTTAAGAAAGAACATTCTTTGGCAAAAACCAACATGGATTTTGAGACAGAAAATCTCGTATTACAAACTTACTGATGTTCTATGACAGAGTCACAAAGATAAAACAAAAAACAAAAAAATTAAATGAGTGGACTGCATGAAAGCATCTGATACTGTACTACACTCAAGATCAGTCAATAAATGATAAGAACAGGTAAGGGTAAGACAGCACCCCAGTGGATCAGGTAATACCTGAAAGACAGAAGGCAGTGACAATAAGGGATGAGACATCAAAATGGGAGGAAGTACTGAGTGGGATCCTTTAAAGATCAGTAGTAAGGCCACTATTATTCCAAATACTGTACATTATGTCAATGACCTACATGAAAGGATTGAATCTTATGTAACTTTCTTTGCTGATGTAACACTACCAATAATGAGGAAGATAAGAGGACTGGACGAAGATTAATTTCAGGAATATCTAGAAAGGCTGTAGAAATTATTCAAAATAGGTGACTGAAGTTCAGTCCAAATATCTACAAGGTCTGGAAAAGGCAGCAGAAAATGGGACGATAAAAGCTGCAAATATCACTGCTTGAATATTGCTACTCTAATTACCTGTAAGCACGTTCAGTATAAAGCCTGTAGGTCTTCCCTGGACCTGTGCGCCCAGCACGGCCTGCTCGCTGCTTGGCTCCTGCTTGGGAAACTGGTGTGACCATTAACGAGTCCATACCTGTCTTAGGGTTGTATACTTTCTGCTTTACAAAACCTGAAAAACATTTTGAGATTAGGCATTTGCAGTTTATTAGGTTTAAGCATTCATTACATTAATAATCTATGTGAAGCAAAGTGAAGCAAAACACAAAAGCAAGAAATTATCAGCAGTAGCAACTCTGAAGAATAATTTACTAAACTGGCCATCTCCCTCCAAAGTAGGGTGATCTAAAAACAAGAAAAATTCACTGTCATTCATTCAATACCTGTCTTTGTTGTCATCAATAAAAAGCAACTGTAACAGCTCCCACTTCATATCAGACTCACTATGAATCTGATATGAATCTGATATGATTTGTCTCCACTCACTCCTATCTAACACACCCATGCACACCTGCTGGAAGTCCAAGCCCCTTGCACACAAATCCTCCTTTACCCCCTCCTTCCAACCTTAACTAAGACAACCCTTACCCTGCTGCCTTTCTTCCACTACAGATTTATATGCTCTCCAAGTCACTCTATTGTGTTACAGCCTCTCTAAATGTTCGAATTGCCTCAACAACCCCTTCTCAGCCCTCTGGATAATACTTTTAGAAACCATGAACTCCTTCATTATATTCACAATGCACAGTGCCCTCAGATATGACATCTCCATTGCCTCCAGCATTCTGTCTCCACAGACTCCTTAGTGCACCATTTGCCTATTTTCCCTCATCAGTTTCATTACCTAAACTTTTTGTTATCCTCATCACCTTGCTCTTTCCTATGTTCACTTTTAAATTTACTTATTTTACATACCCTTCCAAACTTGTCCACCAACCTCTGCAACTTCTCTTCAGAATCTCCCAAAAGCACAGCGTCACCAGCAAAAAAGAACGGTGACAACTCCCATTTTGTGTTAGATTCTTTATCTCTTAACCCCACACCCCTTGCCAACACCCAAGCATTCATTTCTCTTACACCCTCATCTATAGATATACTGCACAACCATGGTGACATCATGTATCCCTGTCTAAGGCTTACTTTTACTGGGAAATAATCTCCCTCTCTCCTACATACTAGAACCTGAGCCTCACTATCCTCATAAAAACTCTTAACTGCTTTCAGTAACCTACCACCTATTCCATACAATTGCAACATCTGCCATATTGCTTCACTATCCACCCTATCACATTATTATTATTATTACATGGAGATACCCCTTGTCTTCGATGGTTGATGCAAAACATCCTATCGTACTAATAAGGACTTTCTCAGGGTTGTACTATTATTATTATTAATATTTCTTTCTTCATTCAACACACTGGCCGTATCCCACCGAGGCGGGGTGGCCCAAAAGGAAAAACGAAAGTTTCTCCTTTTACATTTAGTAATACACCTACCATCCGACTTACGACCGAGTTCGGTTCCGAGAAACCAGTCGCAAGTCGAAATGGTCGTAAGTCGAACTTTACTACTGAATATCAAGAAAACATTTTTGTAATGACTTTATTTTATTGTTTTATTTTGGTATTTCATGTTTTACTTTACTTTTTATGCTGTTAGTACTGTATTTTATACTGTAAGGTTTAGGATAAACACTTTGTACAACACAAATAGTTGTTTATTTCCCAGAAATTTGGCATAAAAAACACAGTCGTAAGTCGAGTGGTCGTAAGTCGAGCAGGTCGTAAGTCGGATGGTAGGTGTATATACAGGAGAAGAGGTTACTAGCCCCTTGCTCCCAGCATTTTAGTCACCTCTTACAACACTCATGGCTTATGGAGGAAGAATTCTGTTCCACTTCCCCATGGAGGTAAGAGGAAATAAACAAGAACAAGAACTAGAAAAAAAATAGAAGAAAACCCAGATGGGTGTGTATATATATGTTTGTACATGTATGTGTAGTGTGACCTAAGTATAAGTAGAAGTAGCAAGACATACCTGAAATCTTGCATGTTTATGAGACAGAAAAAAGGACACCAGCAATCCTACCATCATGTAAAACAATTACAGGCTTCCGTTTTACACTCACTTGGCAGGACGGTAGTACCTCCCTGGGCGGTTGCTGTCTACCAACCTACTACCTATAACTCAACAGGCTTATTACCCTATAATTTTTACACTCTCTTTTGTCCCTTTTTGCATTCATACAAAGGAACTATGCATGCTCTCTGCCAATCCCAAGGTACCTTCCCCTCTTCCACGCATTTATTAAATAACAGTACCAACCATTCCAGAACTACATCGTCACCTGCTTTTAACATTTTTTGTTCCACCAATCCCAGCTGCTTTACCCCTTTCATTCTAACCACTTCCTCAGTCACCTCCTCACAGTCACAACTGGCTTTTCCTCACACCTATAAGATGTTATACCCCCTTCAGAATGTCCAAAATCACAGCTCCCCTATCTTCATCAACATTTAACAGTTCCTCAAAATATCCCTCATTCACTCTCTTAGCTTCTCAATTTATTATTCTCACGTCAAACTTTTTCTATTCACAAAAAATTGGTTGATAGCATCTACCCCTTCTAATTTCTCTCCTTTACATCCGTCACCATCTTTAACTGCTCTTTTTCCTCCATATACTCTCCCTCCTTTTATCACTTCTACTTTGTAATAAACCTCTCATGCAAACTTTTCCTCTTACTACTCTCTTTACTATCATTCCACAATTGCTTTTCCTCCCTCCCACACCATTTTTCTGTAAGCACACATTCCTGCTGAAAATTCTAACACTACATTCTTAAATCTACCCCATACCTCTTCACCTCTTGCCTATACTACTAGCCATCTTCTTCCAATAATTTTATATTTTACCAACTGCTCCTCTTTATTTATAAATCTTACCTCTTTTAATTTTTTTTTTATTATCAACCGGCCATTCCACCAAGGCAGGGTGGCCCCGAAAAGAAAAACTTTCACCATCATTCACTCCCATCACTGTCTTTGCCAGAAGGGCTTACACTACAGTTTTTAACTGCAACATTAACACTCATTCTTAGATGCAGGCACTGTACTTCTTCCCTCTCCAGGACTCAATCCGCTCCTGCCGTTTCCTTGATCCCTTCATAAATGTTTACTTTGTCACACCCAACAGCACTCCAATATTAAAACCTTTGTCTCCATTCACTCCTATCAAACACCTCTTATAGTTTATAAATCTTCACCTCTCTCTTACTTGCTGATGCCATTCTCCTTGTATCCCATCTACCTCTTACTCTCACTGTAGCTACAACTAAAAAATGATCTGATATATCAGTGGCCCCTCCATAAACATGCACATCCTGAAGTCTACCCATCAGTCTTTTATCTAAAAAATACATAGTTCAACAAATTACTGTCATTATGCCCTATATCATATCTTGTATACCTAGTTATCCTCTTTTTCTTGAAATATGTATTACCTATTTCCAAACTCCTTTTTATACAAAGTTCAATCAAAGGCCCCCATTATCATTTACACCTAGCACCCCAAACTTACCTACCACACCCTCTATAACTGTTTCTCCCACTTTAGCCTTCATGTCCTTACCACAATTAACCTCTCACTTGGTTCAATACTTCCTAAACACTCGCCTAACATTTCCCAAAAGCTCTCTCTCTCTGTCCTCTACACTCCACTCTTCTCTACGTGCATAAGCACTTATTACAGAGCTTTATTTTTTGAAATGGCATTCTTTTATCACTTCCAATTTTAACATATGATAAAATACATAAAAATGATTAACATACCTGGATCTACAACATAATAGATGCCATCAATAGTAAGAGATGTTTCTGCAATGTTGGTAGCAATTACCACCTTTCGTGAGCCTGGTGGTGCTGGTTCAAATATTCTTGTCTGCATTTCAGAGGGCAATGCTGAATACACAGGTAAAATGATGAGTTCTGGTACATCACTCCCGAGTGCCTTCATGCGTTCATAGAGAATTTCACATGCAGTATCAATTTCCTCTTGACCAGTGAGGAAAACTAATACATCACCTGGTGGCTCAGAGAGGTGAATCTGCATTACAGTTATAAGGGCTGCATCAAGATAATCTGTTTCTGGCTCCCTTGTGTATAAAATCTCTACTGGGAAAGTTCTACCAGGAATAGTGAAGATTGGAGCTTGATTGAAGTACTCAGAGAACTTGACAGCATCCAAAGTGGCAGAGGTAACAATAAGCTTAAGTTCAGGTCTTTTAGCCACGGCTTGCTTCAAGAGACCAAATAAAACGTCTGTGTGAATAGTTCTTTCATGAGCCTCATCCAACATAATGCAAGCATAACATGACATATCTGGATCAATGAGACACTCTCTTAATAACATACCATCAGTCATGTATTTGATAACAGTCTCTGAGCTAGTGCAGTCCTCAAAACGAATAGTATAACCTACTTCTTGCCCCAGTCTACACCCAAATTCTTCTGATACTCTCTTAGCCACTGACATGGCTGCCACTCTTCTTGGCTGGGTGCAGCCAATTTTTCCCTTAGCAGTAAAACCTGCCTCTGCAAGATACTGTGTCATCTGTGTGGTCTTGCCTGATCCAGTCTCACCAACAACAATGAGGATCTGGTTGTCATCGATGGCCTTGATAAGCTGGTCTCGTAGTTTATAGATAGGGAGGCTTTGTCGTTGTTCTAAAAGGGACATGTTGGTTTTCTTTCCATATGAACCTCTGGTTCCACCTGATAAAAAAAGGTAACATGTTTATATTTTAGTTGAAAAAGATAACATTATCATAAAATGAAATGTTCATTTACAGCTGAAACAAAATATACCACCGGTGCTTGTTATTACCGAAGGATTATATGACACTTCATAATACTAAAGCCTAAATGTTATCATGACTGGAAAGAAAGGCATGGACAGATTTCTATGTTACAAAATCAAGGTAGTATTTTATTTTTATAACAGGCTAATTAGATGAAGCTTTAAGACTCTGCACGATGGAAAGCAACTTGCCAATCTACTGCTTAACACTAGGTTCAATGGCTATCAAGTGGTAAGATCTTGACACATTTCTTTGAGCTTCTCAAGGCCAAGGTATTTGTTACCAACTGCTCAATCCCACTCTCTCACTGTCTGCAAGCCATAGCCTGACTTTTAAAGCTAAGTATGTGGAAAATATATAAACAACACTAGTCAAACTTTTCCTACTGAATAATTAAGGCACCCCCAAATATACATTCCTTGTTTGTTAAATAATGAGTTGCAAATATTATATAATTAATGCAACATTAAATTCACAGATACACAAATTTACAAAGATACAGTACCACTGTACTGTATCAAAAAATATACCTCAAGATATTTTTTTTTTTTTTTATTATCACACCGGCCGATTCCCACCAAGGCAGGGTGGCCCGAAAAAGAAAAACTTTCACCATCATTCACTCCATCACTGTCTTGCCAGAAGGGTGCTTTACACTACAGTTTTTAAACTGCAACATTAACACCCCTCCTTCAGAGTGCAGGCACTGTACTTCCCATCTCCAGGACTCAAGTCCGCCTGCCGGTTTTTTCCCTGAATCCCTTCATAAATGTTACTTTGCTCACAACCCAACAGCACGTCAATATTAAAAACCATTTTCTCCATTCACTCCTATCAAACACGCTCATGCATGCACCTGACGGAAGTCCAAGCCCTCGCACACAAAACTCCTTTTAAAACCCCCTCCCTCCAACACCCTCCTAGGCCGACCCCTACCCGCCTTCCTTCCACTACAGACTGATACACTCTTGAAGTCATTCTGTTTCGCATAACCCATTCTCTCTACATGTCCGAACCACCTCAACAACCCTTCCTCAGCCCTCTGGACAACAGTTTTGGTAATCCCGCACCCTCTAACTTCCAAACTACGAATTCTCTGCATTATATTCACACCACACATTGCCCTCAGACATGACATCTCCACTGCCTCCAGCCTTCTCCTCGCTGCAACATTCATCACCCACGCTTCACACCCATATAAGAGCGTTGGTAAAATACTATACCCTCATTTCATTCCCCTCTTTGCCTCCAAGGACAAATTCTTTGTCTCCACAGACTCCTAAGTGCACCCACTCACTCTTTTTCCCTCATCAATTCTATGATTACCTCATCATTTCATAGACCCAATTCCGCTGACACGTCCACTCCCAAATATCTGAATACGTTCACCTCCATCCATACTCTCTCCCTCCAATTGATATTCAATCTTTCATCACTAATCTTTTTGTTATCCTCATAACCTTACTCTTTCCTGTATTCACCTTTATTTTTCTTTCTTTTGCACACCCTACCAATTCAATCCACCAATCTCTGCAACTTCTCTTCAGAATCTCCAAGAGCACAGGTCATCACAAAGAGCAGCTGTGACAACTCCCACTTTGTGTGTGATTCTTTATCTTTTAACTCCACGCCTCTGCCAAGACCCTCGCATTTACTTCTCTTACAACCCCATCTATAAATATATTAAACAACCACGGTGACATCACACATCCTTGTTCTAAGGCCTACTTTTACTGGGAAAAAATTTCCCTCTTTCCTACATACTCTAACTTGGCCTCACTATCCTCGTAAAACTCTTCACTGCTTTCAGTAACCTACCTCCTACACCATACACTTGCAACATCTGCCACATTTGCCCCCCTATCCACCCTGTCATACGCTTTTCCAAATCCATAAATGCCACAAAGACCTCTTTGCCTTATCTTAAATACTGTTCACTTATATGTTTCACTGTAAACACCTGGTCCACACACCCCCTACCTTTCCTAAAGCCTCCTTGTTCATCTGCTATCCTATTCTCCGTCTTACTCTTAATTCTTTCAATTATAACTCTACCATACACTTTACCAGGTACACTCAACAGACTTATCCCCCTATAATTTTTGCACTCTCTTTTATCCCCTTTGCCTTTATACAAAGGAACTATGCATGCTCTCTGCCAATCCCTAGTACCTTACCCTCTTCCATACATTTATTAAACAATTGCAACCAACCACTCCAAAACTATATCCCCACCTGCTTTTAACATTTCTATCTTATCCCATCAATCCCGGCTGCCTTACCCCCCTTTTATTTTACCTACTGCCTCACGAACTTCCCCCACACTCACAACTGGCTCTTCCTCACTCCTACAAGATGTTATTCCTCCTTGCCCTATACACGAAATCACAGCTTCCCTATCTTCATCAACATTTAACAATTCCTCAAAATATTCCTTCCATCTTCCCAATACCTCTAACTCTCCATTTAATAACTCTCCTCTCCTATTTTTAACTGACAAAATCCATTTGTTCTCTAGGCTTTCTTAACTTGTTAATCTCAACTCCAAAACTTTTTCTTATTTTCAACAAAATTTGTTGATAACAACTCACCCACTCTCTCATTTGCTCTCTTTTTACATTGCTTCAACCACTCTCTTAACCTCTCTCTTTTTCTCCATATACTCTTCCCTCCTTGGCATCACTTCTACTTTGTAAAAAACTTCTCATATGCTAACTTTTCTCCCTTACTACTCTCTTTAAAATCATCATTCCACCAATCGCTCCTCTTCCCTCCTGCACCCACTTTCCTGTAAACCACAAACTTCTGCTGAACACTCTAACACTACATTTTTAAACCTACCCCATACCTCTTCGACCCCATTGCCTAAGCTCTCATTAGCCCATCTATCCTCCAATAGCTGTTTTATATCTTACCCTAACTGCCTCCTCTTTTAGTTTATAAACCTTCACCTCTCTCTTCCCTGATGCTTCTATTCTCCTTGTATCCCATCTACCTTTTACTCTCAGTGTAGCTACAACTAGAAAGTGATCTGATATATCTGTGGCCCCTCTATAAACATGTACATCCTGAAGTCTACTCAACAGTCCTTTTATCTACCAATACATAATCCAACAAACTACTGTCATTTCGCCCTACATCATATCGTGTATACTTATTTATCCTCTTTTTCTTAAAATATGTATTACCTATAACTAAACCCCTTTCTATACAAAGTCAATCAAAGGGCTCCCATTTTCATTTACACCTGGCACCCCAAACTTACCTACCACAACCCTCTCTAAAATTTTCTCCTACTTTAGCATTCAAGTCCCCTACCACAATTACTCTCTCACTTGGTTCAAAGGCTCCTATACATTCACTTAACATCTCCCAAAATCTCTCTCTCTCCTCTGCATTCCTCTCTTCTCCAGGTGCATACACGCTTATTATGACCCACTTCTCGCATCCAACCTTTACTTTAATCCACATAATTCTTGAATTTACACATTCATATTCTCTTTTCTCCTTCCATAACTGATCATTTAACATTACTGCTACCCCTTCCTTTGCTCTAACTCTCTCAGATACTCCAGATTTAATCCCATTTTTTTTCCCCCCACTGAAACTCTCCTACCCCCCCCTTCAGCTTTGTTTCGCTTAGGGCCAGGACATCCAACTTCTTTTCATTCATAACATCAGCAATCATCTGTTTCTTGTCATCCGCACTACATCCACGCACATTTAAGCAACCCAGTTTTATAAAGTTTTTCTTCTTCTCTTTTTTAGTAATTGTATACAGGAGAAGGGGTTACTAGCCCATTGCTCCCGGCATTTTAGTCGCCTCATACGACACGCATGGCTTACGGAGGAAAGATTCTAAACAAAAATATAAAATACAGCAATCTAAGAGATCTTGCAAATGAAAAAACCCAATATCATTTGTCTTACTGAAAACAAAATGATGGAGTACACATTAGATAAGTTAGTAAATTTGACACATGCAACATTTGGGTATCTTTATTTTGGAAATGTTTTGCCAGCCAGTGACTTCTTTGGTCCAATACAGAGAAGAACCGTGAAAGATGTGAAAAAGTTTGAGGCAATCAGTTCCTCAGCCTGGAGTTGATGTGTTCAGTCCATCAATTTCATCAGACATGGCAACATCTTGGGATTTTGAAGCAGGGAATTCTTCAAAGTTTGCCTAACTACTAGAGATACAACCTACTTCCACTAGTGAATTTTTCCACTGGTGCTACTTCATGTCACCCATCTACAGTATACTCCTTCTCCATGCATATACATACTGTACTTTTATCAAAATTGATGGATTGAACACACTGACTCCAGGCTGAGGGACTAATTACCTCAGATTCTGTCACATCAACCACCCATTCTTCTCTGGATTTGACTGTTCAGTCAAAATAAAGATACCCAAATGTTACTTGCATGGCCTTGCATGGCCATGCAGGCATGCACGCCTGCGCGCGCACACACACGCACATGCACACACATGCGCACACACATGCACACACACACACACAGTATATGCATAGATACACATGTATGTATGAAGGTATGTATGCATTGAGATCAGTAGTGCACCAGTGAATATAAATTCTGTTTTACAAATTTTGTAGCCACTGCTTATCTTATGCATCCAATATCAATATCTTAATAATTATGAATAAATTACCACTGAGAAATTTTTATTTTCTTCTGAACATTTAATATACAACCATATATTAAATGTTCAGATGAAAATAAAAATTTCTCAGTGGTAATTTATTCATAATTATTAAGATACTGATATTGGATGCATAAGATAAGCAGTGGCTACAAAATTTGTAAAACAGAATTTACATTTATTGGTGCACTACTGATCTCAACACACACATACCTTCATACATACACGTGTATGTATATATTGTGTGT